TAAATTCCACATTTCGTTCAAGATATAGTAGTGCAATGTCACTGTGACCGTTACGTTTATTATAGTCCGTGTTTACCACTTGCTGCAAGTAGTTTTATTTGAAATAAAAATCAAAATGTTTAAAGAAAAGATTGAAATTAAATCACTATTAAACTTACTTTAACAATAGGAATATCGACGTGCTTAGTTTCAGTGTCGGTAGATAAATCATGTTCACCTAATCTCACAAAACTCCTACAAAAAGAAAAGAATAAATATATAGCTTACTTTATATTAACGTAGGATTAGGTTAGATATTAGCTAAAGTCACTTACAAATCACTACGTATACAATGTGCTGCTGTTATCACATGTCTAGCCGTAATGAGTGTGCCACCACACTTGAAAGGAGATGAAGATAACTCATCGTTATAACCAAGCAAAGCTATCCACGGCCAAGCACCTTTCTTGCTCACTTCACCACCCACAATCTTTTTATAGGAACTTGCGGTGTAACCACAACCTTCAGTCACTGTCGGTAAACGTGTTGGTATTTCATTGCTGTTCACTCTGGGTGTTGCAGTAGTTGTTAACTGCTGACTTGTGCCAGTTGGGCAACAGACAATGCTACCAGTAGCTCCACAAATACGATTTGATGCACGTAAGAAATTTGCAAATGTTTGATCATTCTGCTTAGCATAAAGTTCATTCACAAGTTCCTGGCAGTTCTTAAGATCTAAAATATATTTAAATAATATAGATAACTGATGGAAACATTGAAGTGACAATTATATAACTAACCTATGCATGAACCTTCGCGTATATCAGGACCACGACAGTAGGTACCTTTTGGTTCAATAAGTGGTGCCGATGTTATTGGCTGTGGTGTGGTTGTTGTTGTTGTGGTCGGAGGTTGTGTTATTGGTGCTTGCGTTATTGGTGCCTGTGTTATTGGTCGACCTGTTGGAAAAAATGGATTTGTTGGTTGAGTTACTGGATTTGGCGTTGTTCTGATATTTTGTTGCTGTTGTTGTTGTTGTTGTTGTGGTCTTGTACAGCACACCTAAGCATTATGGGAAGTTTAATACAACTCCAAAATAGAACTTTGTAATATATCTCGGTTAAAGAGATTAGTTTCTAAATTACTTACCACTGGATCACCATTTACATTACGTGTACCGCAGCTTCTTTGTAGCCCAATAATATACTGCTCGGCAACACGTCGATTTGTTGTCTGAAATATGTTTGCAATTTGAGGACAATAACTCAGGAGAACACAATAGCCATAATAATTATCGGGAGTAACACAGTTGTACTGTTGAGCTGAAGTTTATATGTATGGAAAAATAAGGATTTGAAATGTTTTTCCTTTTACTATTTGTAAGTAATGATGGCAAGTTAATAAATCAACTACTTGTTTCCAATCCAAGTTGTGTTAAATTGTAAAATTTTTGGGGTTGATAAGCCTTAATAGTCAATTTAATAAATATTTCATGCAAACTACTAGTTTTTTTTAAAATTAATTTTATTTAATATTAATATTAATCGAACTATTAATTTATGAATTATTGATTTATTTTAATTCCAAATAATATGGCTCAGAAAGGTGGTTAAATTTTAGTATCTAAGATATAAATTAATAAATTTTAAAAAACAACTATAAGTATATCAAAATTTTGAAGTCAGAGAATAGTCAGAGATAGCAAAACTAAAAATATTTGTGACTCCAAGTGGAGTTAATGGAATCTTGAAAAGAAGATTTGTTGTGATTTAGTGCTTTAACTAGCACTTTTATGAAATCACTTCTTTTATGTTGTAATTGATTAAGTGATTAATATGTAATTTTTTCTAGTAAAAATTAAACAATTTATTTTAATAATATATTAAGAGCAATTAAATTATTATTACCGAGTAACAGATTTAAAATACAAGTATAAGAAAAATGTCACTGTGCGCTGCTATTTTGGATCTTTTGAATATTGTTTTAAGCGATTTAAAATATATTACTCCCATATCTTCAAAAAGGTTAAGATTACAGACCAATTATATTGTAATATGTTACATATAAATTGACATGATGAAAATATTTTATTATAAAAAACAAAGTAGCATACATGGCTCTGGAATTCTATATATATTTTTAAAATATATATAGAATATATAAGATATTTAAAATATAATTAAGGAAACTCACTAAAGATTTCATATTGTCTGAGTGATTAAAAACA